GATATTGTTGGAGTCCACAACAATTTTTTAAACAGGATTTCTACTCAGCGCACGTTTCAACCTTTTTGCAGTGTTCAAAGTTCAGCTCAGTCTCAGTTGTAGCTCAGAGGGTAAGAAGCGCCTTCTACCCATGAAACCTCTAGATTCTCTGACATCATCTCAGGAAATAACGAATGGATGTATGGATTCCGCTTCCGGAATTGAGCGGGACGCTCTGTCACGTTGATACTTTATCGTCAAATACCCACTATCTTAGCTAACGTTAGGCCGTTTTCATGGCGGCTTCGAAGAAATGACGAATAGTTATATTCGCCTGAACCCAGTGGAACAGTTCAGCATGATGGCAACGATTTCCATATTGTAGGAACTCATAGAGATGCCTTATGGAAGTGTGACAGCTTGGGTAGGGAAGAAAGGGCGGTCCCAGTGGACAACCCTGTGCCCGTTTTGTAGGTATAGGCGCTAAGTTCAGAGCTTCTCTAGTAGCACTTCTTTGTTTTCACCTCCGGACTCCGCTTCTCCGAGCAAGCTAGTGGAGGCTCCATTGCCGCTTGTGGGTGGTTCATCGTGAAAAAAAGCAGCTAGGCGGCTCCGTGAAACACAGTCTTTTAGCCTTGAACGATTGCTGCAGGGCTTTCTATTGCCGACCCTCCCTTATGCCTTCAAATTTTTTAGCGAACCCTTTTAAATATTCCAACTCCTCCCTACGCTTCATATCGTGGACTGTGCCTCTAACAATAAATGCACGGCTGCAATTTATTAGAAAGAGTTTTTGTCTGAGAAGACGCTGATATTTTAAGCTTTTTTGGATAGAATTCCAAGTATGAGTAAGTGAAATGAGTGGGTGTCCATTACTAATGACCTCTCGCCATTTATTCAATATTTGTCCGCATAAAAACGAGCGCGCATGGCTTTAATATTATAATTATGAGGGTGGCAAAGTAAAATATTCGTGCTCGGGTATTAGGACTTGAGCGAGAATATCGCTATGTTACCAGCTTTTCAATAGGATTCAATGCCTAGGAGAAAGGGTACACTGTTGCATTCTGGGCGCTTAGTGGCCGAAGGATAAAACTGGAGACAGTTCTAAAATGCTATGAAGGTGAAAAGTCTTCAAGGGAACGTTTTTTAACGGAAAGACGAGAGTATATGAAGGATAAGGTGCTCGTCATTAGCCATGCCCTTTTTCAGGGTGCGGCACGCGTTCTACTAACATTCGAAATGTTAGCGGCTTACTGAATGTCTATATCGTGACAGGCGATGTATAAGTCAGTGTTCGCATCTACTCAGACGAATCTGGTACCAGTTGAGCGCCCCCGAAGGTTAGAAGGCTTAGTTAGCCTGAGCGGAAGCCGTTCTGGGATTTGACTCACTGACCGCGACTAACTAGGGAAGGTCGTCAGGTCGAAGTGGCCATTTGTAATGAGATGTAGCTCACTAGACGTGGTTTTGGACGCTGATCTCGAATCTGCCTTCGAAATTTGCAAGAGCGATTCTCTGAACGGAGTTATGGAGCCGCGTTTACCACGCAACAGGTCATGGGATCGGATCCCTGCTGAGCTTAACTTTTTTGCTTCTTGCGCAAACGTGGCAAAAAGTGGTTGTGGCGTCACTACTACATTAGCGCTCTCCTTGACTTGCCTGAAAAACAGTTTGCGTTCGCTTACTGGCGCGCTTAGTGCCTTATGATCTAGGAGATGTACAGGTGCCCTTGGCGCGCAGTGCAGGCGTTTTCGCGCTGAGCGAGTGCCATATTCGTATTTATCGGGGCGAACTACGCCTAGGTAGAGGTTTCTAGCCAAATCTGGCATTTTGACCTGACTTCGAAAAGTGAAGCATCCATGGGTTAGTTCAGTTGATGTTCACACCTATTCAGCTGCAGATACATTCTCCTGCACAAAGCCTCGTCTTGCCACTTCTTACGCATTCATGTTGTTACTGCTCCAGTTTTCCTGGTATCTAAAAGCAAATTCCGTCCAAAGACAAGCAATCGACAAGAGACTGGCCCTGGAACTATTGGTGACCATCATTCAACTTCTTTTCCACTTTTCAAACTTCTCAACTTCTTCTCCACTTTTCAAAGTTAGGTCAAAACCTCACATCTGGCTAGAAACCTGTCCCCAAGGGTAGTTTTGCTCCCTGAACACGAATATGGCACCCATTTGGCGTTTGAGTGTTTTCTAGACTTAAAAGAGACATTCCCCACAAAATGCAAAACAAGTTCCCTTCCAGAAATTCGAACCCTTCATGGCATGCCCGCGAAGCAAGACCATTACCACTACACCATGCCGCCGTTGAATGTAAGGGTGCTTCCCGGCTATTCATGCGAATGGCTGGCAACCGCGCTCGACTCCGTTTCCTTCATTTTAATTCTAACAAACCTTCATAATTCCGTTCAGAGAATCGTTCTGCAAATTTCGAAGGCAGATTCGAGATCAGCGTCCAAAACCACGTCTAGTGAGCTACATCTCATTACAAATGGCCACTTCGACCTGACGACCTTCCCTAGTAAGAAGAACCATGCACCTCACCCCCCCCTCCCTCCCCATCTCCCAACAACGACCCGGAATACGAACCCATTCTTATCTCAGACGGAAAGGTACGAATCCCTTATTGTGTTCTTAGACAGCGATGCTAGCTACCCTGTAGGATAATGTGTTTGGTCTCAGTAATCAGATTGCATTTCCTCTAGCCTGCCCCATCCCTCTCCCATTGCGCGCTCAGAATGTAATGCTGAAGAAAGTATCTTCCAGACGATACAAAAGTATGGACGTGAATACCCAGAGCGAGATCCTAGCCTTGCCGCATGGGGAGTGCTTCTGCGATGGTTTACGAGGTAAATTTTTGTATGGATACATTGGCTCACTTCAAACACATTTTAAAATGACTGGCGTGCATTTGCACATTATTTGGAACAATTCGAAACCATTACCCCCGTAAAGACCTGCAGCGGTTGGGTGTGAGTAACGTCAGCAGCTTGCTAGCGTGCACTTTACCGCGTCCAACCATGCCAGAAAGGTACCATGGGTTTTGAAACGGACGTTTTGAGACGGGTATCGTCTCCATAATCCGCCCGCGCTACCTCAGGGCCAGCCACACGCATAGCCACAGCCAAGCTCGCTGCTTCGTTCTGTGCCTCTCACTTCTGCAGTGTTAGCCTACGGCTGCAGTGCGTGCGTCTTTGTTTTTGGGATGTTTGGTACGACCCCTCCCCCCCTCCGCCCTCTGTCTTCCTGCAGCGACCGAGCCGTCGTCGAGGGGGTGGGTTGTTTAGAACTTGGAATTATCATTTGCAAGTGTCCGAAATCGATGTGCGTCCCTGGACTAACCAAATACGACCCCCCTTCCGCCTTCTGGATGAGTCACAACGATGCGTCACCCTTTGCTTGGTACTCCTTGCGCTGATCTGCGAACAGAGCCGGATTATCGTAGGAAGACGCACATGGCCTCGACGGATCAGTATCCTCCAGCCCCGATCCCGAGCAACTTTTGAGCAGAGAAAGTTGCACATTACTTGCAGCTGCGGAGCCATTCGCCAATCATATGAGACGACCACGATCTGCGAAGGCACCGGTTTTCCTTAATCACTCAGTTTGTGCAGCTAACGGTTTCCGGAACCCTTTCTTAGCAACAGGGAACACGTGGTTTTCGAATACGGCCATATTCATTAACAGATTATGTGTACGATTTGATTCGTAAGAAGCTTTAACCGAGTTCAAATCCACGATTTACGCCATCCTTTCTTCCCTCTCTTCTTCGACTTTTTCTCAACGGTCCTGATGACGATGTTTGTTGGCGCGGCAGCCATGCGTCCATGAATTGATGAATAGTCGGCCAGAACAGGTGCTGTTACCTCAACGGGGTTCGCTGATGACAATCTCTCCTCTTCAGCGGATTTTGTAGACGTTGTTTTCTTTGAGGGATTTTTCTTCTTCTCTTTGCGTGGGCTCATTTCACTGAGGAACATCTTGTGCAGACGCCCTCGATATCGACTGTTCCTGTTGCAGCTGTAGCTGAACGGTCTGTCAGTCCTGCCACGAAGTGCATTCAGACGGCCAAGGTAACTTCTGGCAAATTTACCTCGAATGGCTGGTAGTTCTCTGCTAGAGTCACTTCTATCAGTACCGTAGGATCCCTCGTCAGTGGACCACACTTCCTCCTTTTCGACTTCGAAATGGGCCGGCGCTGGCGCCCTGGACTGAACAGATCCCATTATTTCCTTGTCCACACGCTCCACAGCTGTGTCTACTGTCCTGGTCTTCTGAGTGCGGTCCTTCGGTGGCTCCCGAATGACCCGAAAAGATTCTGCCGGGTTAACGGGAGGTCGTGGCTTCTTCTTCTTCTTACGAGTCTTTTTATTTTCTTTGGACGAGAGCTTTCTTCGGATGAATATGGGCTTGATTTTACGACGAGCTTTCGGGATTTTAGCGGTTTTTACCAACAGCTCGGTAACCTGGTAATTCCTCAACATTCTGGCCTCGATGCTGGACTCCAGCGATGCTCGCCGTTCTTTTCTGGAGCTCTTCCGGAAGGGTCCAGTCAGGAGACTTCAGCTTCAGAGCTTTGAGAATCTTTTCCTGTTTGTTGGTGATAAACTCAGTAAGCCCTGAACGTGATATCCTAAATGGAGGTTTCTTCCCGTAGATCTCACGAATCATCTTCGCTATGGCCTTTACAATCACCCCCACCGTAACCTCTTTGCCTTCGTAAGTGAGGATTCCACTCCTTTTCTTCCTCAGAGCTATGCATTTATCATCGCCATTCTTCAGTTTACATAGCTTCATTGCGCCTTCAAGTTGGATCTTCTGGATTTTTTCAGTCATGCGAGGCGCCTGATTTTGAGCATTGAGGATAAGACGAGTGGAGGAGGCTGTAGACTGAAGTCGGACGCTGACGAAATCTTCTGGATCGAGCTTCAACTGGTCAATGATGTAACGCTGAACCTCCTCAATAACGCTAATCACAGAGGCTTTAGTCATCTGTAAAGAAGCCCCTTTCCTTTTGAGAAGATCAGTCTCCATTCTAATAATGGCGCTGGCTATCTCGTCTACCGTAACCTCTTTTCCTATGAAAATGTGTGAAACACTCCGACTTTTGCTCCTGATCGTCTTTGATTCCGTGCCGGTAGCAGCTTCCGCGCTTTCGTCAACTTGTACTAGTGGCTTTGTTTCGTTGAAGGGGTCATATCTGACCATGGAACCATCGACATTTCGGCGATTTTCGTCCACTTGCACGGAATAAGGGTGTCTCATAAGATAGATGAAAGGTTTTCTGCAGTGATCGATACCTTGTTTTCGTTCACGAGCAGCTCTTCGATGCGAAGATTTGACGATGTCTCTCACAATTGCCTCGGGGTCGATATCTTCGCTGGAATCGGTTGATTCCTTGGCTTTCACATTATCTGCCTTCATCATTTTTCTTTCTCGTCTTTTCTGGAGCTCTGCTCGTTTCTCCTGTATCGCTCTGATTGCGTTATCGTAGAGGTCTGAAAACGGGTTTTTAAGGTAGTTTCGAAAGCTATTGTGGGCACTGATGAGCTTTTTAACGTACAGAAAAGCATTCCACGCTGAACTGGTGGGCGGAGGTTGTCAACAAGCACAGCGCCCATACAATCAGCGTGTACTGGGAAAACTGCGATCTCCCTGATTTGGCTTACACATTCGTTTTCATTGCGGACGCTATGGAGGAGGCGGTTGGAGGGGCTGGATCTGGCGCGGCAGTTGGCCGTTTCTTCGGTTTGTTGTCGCTTGTCTTCTGTTCAACAGTTGTTGGAATAGCGGCTGACGCTGACGCTTGAGCCAGTCTTTCCGCCAGGCCTGCAGCCGAAACGTTTACATCATGCCATTATTCAAAGGTGGCCGCGGCCAGGGCGGCACTTCATGTCGTGGAACATGCAGGGCTGTTGTTCTAACCCACCACTGCGCGAAGGCATCGCACCTTTTGCGAGTCGACCTGCAGCTCACTTATAGCCAGTCGCCATTGGAGGGTAATTTTCTAGTATGTTAAATTGGGAACGTACACTAACCGCCCAGGCTTCCACATCATTCTCAGCAAGTCTCTTTTCGGTACTGGTCTGAAAACATGGTGTAAATAGAAAAGGGTAAATATGTGGACGTAAACTCTTGGCCAACTAATGGTCCTGGTAACAGTAGTAGTCCTACTAGGGACGATTTTCGCAGATTCTCTATGTCTTGTACGTACAGTCCTCATCATTGCGAACCGGTGGGGCCTGTCAGCCAGAAGGAGTCACACTGTTGAAAGCCGTTACTCAGTCTTTTTTGTTGCAACGCGTATGCGACAAAAAGTGGTAGAAAACGAGTAATACGAAGGATATTATACAGTAATGCACTTGTTCGCTTCAAAAACTGGTGCAGAACGACTTTGCCAAACCGCACCAAATGCAGCCGCAAGCCCACGCACCCACCGGGTCCCATGATGAGGGACTGATAAGCTCTCTTTCCGCGAGGCGAGGCCGAGTAGGTTAGTGAGTAGGAGAAGCAGCGTTTAATCACACGCGCGTTTACGTGAGGTCTTCAAATACCGTATCGGCCCCCTTCCTATTGCAAATCAAATCTTCTGCCCTCCGGAAGGCGAATTGGTACCGATCCGTATGGGAAAATAAGAACACTGACCTATTCATCAGCTAGCCCCCGCAACTTATTGTTTGGGATCATATACGCAGTTTCAAAAGCCACTGCGATTCTGAATGGAAGCAAGACATGCGTGCACCGCATCCTCGAAAAGGGTCGACCGACGTGAGAGTTCACTCTTCTACGACTTTTTCTCGATTAATGAGAGCTACTAGTCCTTCTCTATACCAAAGCTCTATTAAGGCTCATTGCTCATTGTCACTGATCGCGAACGTTACTTCAGAATACTCGACAGCGCCCATCTAGAGTATTTCTTCGGCCTTTTTCTCCGAAGCCTCGCACACTGTTTCGTCATCAACAGCCGGTCTGGACATCAACAGCTTTCGATCCTGCCTATTATTCACAATGATAATGCCGCCTTCTTACAGATAGAATGCCAGGCGGGATTAGGGATTGTCCGGAAACTTCTCAGCTTTGCTCGCACTTATTTTTTGTGTCATTCACTCCTGATTAAACTCGTTTCCTGCCTTGTTCTCAACTAGCACATCCCTGTAGAGAATTTCTTCATTGCGCCTAATCTGATGGTATAATTGCCGTTTCACCATTGCTTGATAAACCCCCTTTTTTCAAGATTTTTTCAAGCATGTGAAAAGAGCACTTCGGACGATTTTTTCTTCGACTATAAATCGGGGGCAATCCCGCAAGTCTTAAACGGCTTCCTTATATTAACCAGGGTGTGAGAGGCCAATAGTGCCCTAGAGAAACGCCGGGCGGCGTGGACTCAACAACTTCTTCTGAGAGAAATTTTACAGAAGCCTTGAAGATGAACCTCATAGCGGTCGACCTAAAGCAATATCTGACGAGGATTTTAGGGGGATTTTGGAGGCTGACCCATCCCAAACAGTTCGAGAGATAGCAGAAGAGCTAGGCCTTGGCAAATCCACTGTTGCAGATGGTCTGGAACGCATTGGGAAGGTGAAAAAACTCGACAATTGGGTGCCCCACAATCGGAGTGACCGGCAGGAATCGGCACGTCTCGAGGTTCCTTCTGCATTGCTTTGCGCAGCAGAAACGACCTGTTTTTGGCCGAATTGTCACCTGTGATGAAAAATGGGTCATGTATGATAACAGGAAACCGTTCCGGACAGTGGTTGAATTTTCGGACGAACCACCGAGGGAGTTTTCATAAGCGACCTCAACGAACGAAAATCTGGTCACGGCTTGGGTCATCAGGCTGGTGTTATGTCCACAATATAAATTTAATCACAAGCCAAACCATCACAGCAGCACCCTACTGTGAAGAAATCGACGAAATGTACCGAAAATTTTGTCAGATGCAGCCAACACTTATCAAAAGAAAGGGTCCGATTCCTTTGCATGACAACGCCCGCCCACACGTTTCACAAATCACTATCCATAAATTGAACGAATTGGGGGTTGAAGTTCTACCTCAACCGCCATATTCTTCAGACCTTTCGCCAACCGACTATCACCTTTTCTAACATTTTCAGAACTCCCTTGCTGGAAAATACTTCATCAATCAGGACCAGGCAAAAAGCCTTAGTGGATTTCCGTGAGTTTTTCGATCCACAGTTTTTTTAACTTTTAGGGACTTATCTCGACCGCTTGTTACATTGGGAAAATGTGCTGATGTCGAATGGTGCATTCTATTTTCGCATTAAATCCGATGAAGCTATTTCAAACATAAAGTTACCGATTGTTCGCTGGAAAGTGAAACCACCCAAAACGCTGAGAACTTTCCGGCACGAACCCGCAATATCTCCTAAACGCCACTGTTGAGTTGTGAGCAAAACGCTTGGTGTCAAGCAAGACTCGGAGCTGAGCTTTACCCTTACCTGTGTAGTATGCTAATTCTGTCAAAATCACGCATCGTATCAGAAGCCATGAAGCTGAGAAACATGAAAACGGCATCTGTGGTTCTTAACACATTCGAGGCGAAGGCCATTTCGCCCAGAACTCACGTTCGTCGTTGTTTTTGGCTTATTTTTACAATTTTTTCTTCGTATTGATGTGTTAATTGTGTAAATGTATGCTAGTAGAATATAATCAGTCGCAAAAAGAACAAAAAATATGCGCGTGTTTTCGCAATACTGTACGAATGACCGAAAACAGGGGCGTGTACTTCAGGGAGTACACGCCGCCTCGAACGTGTTAATGAGCACTGTGGACCAATAAGCCTGCGTTCATACTCTGCGGCTTGAGCGATTCTGTCGCGCGATCAGAGAATCAGAGTGCTCCATCGTCAACGGTTGAACCGCTGCAACTGCGAATCCTCCTGAGATCATTGTAGCGGTCCAAAGATTGGCGGGCCGAACACATTCGCGTGATTGAATTGCTCCAGTCGAGAAC